CTCCTCCTCCCTCCTCCTCCTCCTCCTCCTCCTCCTCCTCCTCCTCCTCCCTCCTCCTCCTCCTCCTCTCCTCCTCCTCCCTCCTCCTCCTCCTTCCTCCTCCTCCTCCCTCCTCCTCCTCCTCCTCCTCCTCCTCCTCCTCCTCCTCCTCCTCCTCCTCCTCCTCCTCCTCTCTCCCTCCTCCCTCCTCCCTCCTCCCTCCTCCTCCTCCCTCCTCCCTCCTCCTCCCCCTCCTCCCTCCTCCCTCCTCCCTCCTCCTCCTCCCCTCCTCCCTCCTCCTCCTCCTCCTCTCTCCTCCTCCTCCTCCTCCTCCTACCCCTCCTCGCTCCTCCTCCTCCTCTCCTCTCCTCCTCCTCCTCCTCCTCGCCCTCCTCCCTCCTCCTCCGCCTCCTGGGGCGCGTCGACCGCCGATCGGCCCCTTCATCGCCCCCACGGGCCTGCCAGCACGCCCTGCCCAGCAGCGTGTGGCTTTCGAGGACACCCAGGACGTGTGTTAGCCTTAAGCCGGGCGTGTCCCCCTACAGTTGGGATAGGATACTCCAAACTAGTCAACAAATAGTCCGGGGATTTGTTTTAAAAGTATTGCTTGATCACTTTCGAATATTGTGTGTATCGTCCAAAATCCGCCTGCAGGAGGACACGCCCGACCTAGTGTTAGCCCACTGTGTGTTTACCCCGTTCAGCTCCACCAGTAGATCATTACATCACCTGCGTCGTCTGGAACGGCCTCGATTGACAAATACACGTTGGCGCTAAAACACTCTCTGAACATCATCGAGGATGTCCTACCTGGGGCCCGTCGCCGATCTATCGGCGATGCATCGCCGATTCCAGCTCCATGTTTTCCCGGTGAGCCAGCCCCCCCTACAACGCTTCCCCTCACCCCTTTAGCAACTTCCGATCTCTGCTTCCCCATCCTGTCTTTCCCCCGCGAATGCTGGGTGCTCCAGCGTGCAGGACGAATCGCCTGCCGCGCTCTGCGGTCACAGAGGGGGCTGTGCAGGGTAAGGGGCCGTTGCGTTCGTCCCTTCCGTTCTCTGCTCCTCTCCCTCCTCTTCCTCGAAGTTCCTCCCCATTCTCCTTTTCCTGCTCCTCCTCCTCCTCCTCTTCCTCCTCCTTCTCCCCTCGTTTTTTCCCCAACCATCCTGTGGTGTTGGGTCCTCGTTTTGAAGAAACGGTTCCCTGTGCCCTTTTCTCCTCTCCTCTCCTCTCCTCCTGCTCCCCCTGCTCCCTCCTCCTATTCCTCCGCCTCTCCTCACACACTTCGTGACCCCATAGGGAGCTCCACCCAAGGTCCCAGTGGCGCCGTCCGCATGGCGGCGCCGCCCCATTTCGGCACACACCTCACACGTTTCGTGGCCCCCAAAGGAGCTCCACCCGAGGTCCCAGTGGCGCCGTCCACATTATGCCGCCGCCCCCTTTCAGCACACACGCCTCACGCGTTTCGTGGCCCCATCTCCACCGAAGTTCCCAGTGGCGCAGTCCGCACGGTGGCTGCTCCACCAACGGCCCCAGAGGCTACGTTCGCATGCGCCTACCGCACCTATTTCGGCACACCCCTCACACGCTTCGTGGCCCAATCGGGAGTTCCACCGACGGCCCCAGTGGCTGCTTTGGCATGCGCACACCGCGCAATGTTTGACACACCCCTCACACGTCTCGTGGCCCTATCGGGAGTTCATCCGAATGCGTTGCATACTACGACGGTGCTCACAAGTGCATATGGTTTGGTCCTTCGCTAACTTTTGTATGCGTATGTATATATAGTTATAACGCTGCATCTCTTTACACATTTCGTTATTCATTTATTTGTATACATTTCCCTTGCTCTTTCAAAGAAGAGGTTCTTAATTCGAAGAGTAATAACACTAGTACGAGAACTAATAAGCATACTACTAAGCAGAGTAGGACAACCAATGCGACACATCATCACAATATGAGACAACGGCATACACATACATGTTCGGATGTCTGCGCAAGTCTTGGATCGGCTCCATAACCCCCTCCCTGGCGCGCGGAGCGCGCTGGGTGCGGCGCCAGAGGCGTTGCCATCGGGTCTGGCGCCGATTGAAGAACTGCGCGCGGGCTTCTGAAAGTTCACGTTGATTCAGAAGTTTGTTCTTCTTTCCTTGTTCTTTATTCCTCCCCCGCCTCTTCCTCGAATCTCCTCCCCCTCCCCCTCGCTCGCTCACCTGAGGGCTGAGAGGGCTGAAGCCTGTTCGTACAAGGATAGAGAGATAGAGAGAGAGAGATAGATAGAGAGAGAGAGGCGACGATGGGAAGGCAGTACTCCATGGCCCACCTACCATGCACGTGCAAGGCAGGAGGGGGAGACATTGACAGGGCCAGGCTCCTCCTCCTCCTCCTCCTCCTCCTCCTCCTCCTCTTCCTCCTCCTCCTCCGAAGCAAGCCCCGGTGCATAGATCCTGTTCTGACGAAGCAGGCCTTGGCCCCCGTGACTGCTGCCGTTTGCCATCTTATTAGCGCAATGGTGCGGGAT